ATATAATTGTTGCAGCAAATGTATCATCTATGACCTGGGATCTCCTGAGTCCTGACCACAATAACACACTTCAAGATATAGTTGGAGTAATCAGCGTGCATGTAGAAAATATATAATCTTTGACAGAAGATTACAAATATTAAGACTAACTAACAAACTCCTTCATATCGTCTGATGAAAGTGTGCGCCGTAATTATAGTTCTTGTAAAGCAACCAAAACGTCGCACTATGGGAAAGCCCCATACAAGACCGCCTCAAAACGCTTTCACATGAAAGTCGTTGTTATGGAGTAAAACTAATTAAATTATTTAGTCATATAAATAAGCTTTCATTATATAATAAATGTATAGGCATTATATATTCTTGAAATGCTTATAATATCCTTATAACGTTTCTTAAATAATATTATGTACAATAAATTAATGAATAAAAATTAACTAATATAGTTTTGGATGTTATAATTTTCGGGTTATTTTTTTTTAACCAGACTTACCTTTTACCGCTGTTTGCCGATGTCGAGATATTTGTTGTATTCTTTATACATTAGTTTACACAGGGAGAAAAAAAAGTTGCCATACGGTGTCAAAACATATTTAAATTTTAAATATATTATGTATTTATATTTATTTTTTAAATAAATTAATAAACATAATTTTCAAAATTATTATTTTAATATAAAGTATTATAATTTCACGTTTATGAGTGCGAAATTATATGTATACCATTCAGTTTTGAAATAACTGAGATACGAAGTTTTGAGACGGAATATACGCGATTTTCCCATAGTGCGACGGGCAAATGAAGAATAATAATTAAATCGCGAAAGAAATCCTAAATATATAGTCTCATATAACTGTGAACATTCTCCCGGAAGCTTTAAATATATATCTATCAAACACTAAAAGAAAAAATCAGAAAAATTGCAGATATTTTCAATATGACCCTATTTAATTTAATACAAATTATTATATGACAAATACATATTTGAAGTGCAAATATATTAGTAAAGATCCGCCGAAACAGACGAAACTGATACAGTAAATAAGCTTACTCCAAGTTTTATAGACACACTACATACTAACAGTTAACAGGTTAACACTCAAATATGATAGTATATCAGATTATTAAATCAGGAACAGCAAATTCGTCGTATGTGATGAGATGAGACTCATTGTAATGGCGGCCACACACGCTACGGTCTACCGGAGAGGTCCACCTGTGCAGGTAGACAGGAATTTGTGTGAGAATAGACCTGTGCAATTTTTTGAATGCTACCATTGTTCGATTAACTTGCACAGGCCTACCTGCACAGATTAGGACTCCGGTAGACCGTAGCGTGTATGGCCGGCATAAGATGATCTCTGGCAATCTTTAATGAATTCCGCCAACACATACGAGTATCTTCACACCAAGAATCAATAATACATTCCGCATATTCTTTATAACGGACTGTAAAATAAACTAATCGGTGTGTTATTCTAACATTATGTTTTAGTTGTTCGCGCCAATCGCAAACATATTTTTTGTTGCAGAACAAACAGACATTAACAAATAACTTATTATATTGACACGAGTCATTTGACAAGTTTCTAAGCAAACGGTTCTTCTTATAAGACGTATAGAAACAAAATAATCAAATAGATTTTTATATTTTTTTGTGACTCATTAACCAACAGCGATGGGGATTTTTACTAATACATAATTTTGCAAGAAAAGAAATTCTACAGATCTTTTTCATTACTATATATCACGTAAAATTAAGAAGAAAATAATTAAATATTTTTAAAAGTATTGTTAACGTTGAATATTGATCTTAACAATATTTCAATGGAAATATTGTAATTATTTTTTTACAGAACCTTCGCAGTTATTTATTTTAATAAATTGTTAATAGTTTTAAATATAATAAAATATATATATTATTAAAGATTACAACAGTTATAAGCTATATTTTATATACTGTTGCGTTGAACAATTTATTTGCATGTTTCAATTAAATAATCACTAATCAATAATTATCCGGTTTACACTAAATTTTGGTTATAAATGTAAAGTTTGGACGACACATTTATTACAATCAAATTATTATTTTACTATTATTTAGTTGTTTTAATAGCGGGTAAATGGGTTTTATAATTATTGGTACTTTATAATACTTGTTTAGAAAATTTAAAGAAAACTCTAGAAAAAAATTACTCACTGATACTTAGTGCTTTTTACATAATAACTATTAACTGGAACTACGCATTGTATAAATATGTATATGACGTAATTAATATTATAAACATAAATAAAATTTTCTATTCATATTATAACATTATAGGCCAATGCAGGAGCCTTTATAATTAATGAAAAGTGAAAATAAATTATGGTAGAATGAAACTCATTAGAAAAGGAGGGGAATATTATAAAAATTAAAGGAAAAATAATTTACGGGCGAACTGAGGTCGGGAAGGGTATGGGGATGGGTATTTTAAGGTAAAAAATGGATTTTCTCAATTTCCGGCAAAACTAAAAGTCCTGCGGAAAAAAGTTTTACAGCAAAGTTGTAGGTAATAAAAAGATCAAACACTTTTGTATTTAAATTTTTTTCACATATTACCTAAAAATTTATGTGAAAAATTCAAAAAACCTAGTTTTTTGTTTTTTATTTTTATCTCTTCCAAAAAAAAATTTATGTCACAAAATTTGGTGAAAACTTTCCTTTTAATGTTACAAATGCACTGTAATTTATTCGATTATAAATATTTATTTTTTCAGCTTATTTTGAATAAATACCAAAAAATCTGCTTCATTTTCAATTGAAAAATCACCAGTCAAAATATCAGCGTTTTCAAAAATTTGGTGTGTTTTCTGTTTGTTGAAATCTCTATTTTCCGATGGTGAAGAAAAAAATATAAGTTTCTTACTTACAGTACCATTTTTGGATAAAATAATCATTTCTCTTTGAATGAAATGACACTTGATATCGTTTGGAAAATGCTCTGAAATGAAAGAGATTTCAACAAACAGAAAACACACCAAATTTTTGAAAACGCTGATATTTTGACGAGTGATTTTTCGATTGAAAATGAAGCTAATTTTTCGGTATTTATTCAAAATAAGCTGAAAAAATAAATATTTATAATCGAATAAATTACAGTGCATTTGTAACATTAAAAGGAAAGTTTTCATCAAATTTTGTGACATAAAATTGTTTTTTGGAAGAGATAAAAATAAAAAACAAAAAACTAGGTTTTTTGAATTTTTCACATAAATTTTGAGGTAATATGTGAAAAAAATGTAAATACAAAAGTTTTTGATCTTTATATTACCTACAACTTTGCTGTAAAACTTTTTTCCGCAGGACTTTTAGTTTTGCCGGAAATTGAGAAAATCCATTTTTTACCTTAAAATACCCATCCCCATACCCTTCCCGACCTCAGATCGCCCGTAAAAATTTTCCTTTAATTTTTATAATATTCCCCTCCTTTTCTAATGAGTTTCATTCTACCATAATTTAATTACATATGTTTTAAAAGCTATCGGCACTGGTCTATTAAACATCAAAGTATTTAAAAGACTCAAAAGTCATGTCCGTTTTTTTTACTTGCCTAATGGACTTGTTGTTAAAGGTAATTAAATACATTCCAACGTTTTGTAAATCAAAAAGTACAAATATAATTATACAAATTCTATTCACTATACATTTTTAATAACAGCGCCATCTATAATTATAATACCGTATTATTAAGTTTTGTGACATCATTTGGGCATTTTATAAAATTCGATAATTAAATAATTCTTACAAATCTTCTATATATATAAAAATGGATTGCTGTTCCTTAGTCTCGCTAAAACTCGAGAATAGCTGAACGGATTTATCTTATCTTAGTCTTGAAATATTCGTGGAAGTTCAGGGAAGGTATAAAAGCTGAACAAAAATTATTCATTACTGGGAAAACCATAAAAACAGCCCTTTTCTATTTCCCATACAAACGGTTTTTTTGACATTAGATTTGACAACTAACTAATATGTCAATCATTCTGTCGCACTTCAAAACACGGAGATTTATGGCTCACAGACAAACTCCAAAAATATAAATAAAAAAACGTAACAGATATTTCTTGATTATAGGGCGATACGAAGTTTTCCAGGTTTTCTAGTGACAAATAAAAAAAGGCAAAAGCTTAGTAAAGAGTGCTTTTGATTTTTAATACCAGTTTTGGGTTCTAACTACGAAACCGGTTAAAACCTAACTTAACAAAACACGCATCTGTTTTTATGTATTGAAAGAAATGTTATAGAAAAAGAAGTATCAAATTATAACTTTTTATTATTATTTACTTTACTGAAATCATAACGCTAAATATTATTTTAGATGATTTTTAATGGCTACGAACTTATTTTTAGTATTTCATATCTTCTCTCTTATTAAACTTTTATGTATTACAATCCTATACATAATTAAAATGTTTAATTTCATTTCTTTAAAGTGACATCTAGTTTCGATGTAAAATGTTTCTTAAGGTATGGACTATTTTTTTTCTATTCAGTGGTAATTGTCTATGGTTTAGAGTAATTTTACCAAAGACAACTTATAGCTATCATTCATTTATTCGATACGAGATGGCAGAAGCATATTTTTACACTAGTCTATTTGATTAATTTAATATTTATTTTCAAATTTATTTTATTTAATACGTATATATTTGTAATTTTAATTATATTTTATTTATTTCTACCAAAGTTGTATTGTGGCTGTATATAATATTCCTTTGCTTCAAATATCTAGGCAACAAAACAGTGTAAAAAACTTAGCTCTCAACAAAAAAAAAGTGCGAGGCAGCCAAGTAAATGGCGTCTCAAGTTGTTTTTTATTCGATATCAATGTGTTTCTAACATCTTTGTGTCGTTTCTATTGGTATCGTGACAGTGATATTAATTTAATTGTTATCTTTAATGTTTCATTGAACAGTTGTGGTTATTTCGTCGACGTTTCACCATTTGCCGTGAAACAATGGCGTCTAATGATTCCCACGTAAAAGTAAATGAAAATTGTGATATCTTGGACGATTGCTATAGTTCATGTAGCGAAACAGATGCCGGTGAAGGTACCAAGCGCCGTCGAGTGACTCATGACTATCGAAAACTTTCGAAATTGGGACATGATCCAAGTGTGTCAACTAATTTAAAACATGCAACTACTGTTTTCAAAGGTAGGAATAATTGATTACCTGTATACTTAAAATCTTCCCTTCTCCCCTTCTCGACGCCTGAAAGTATCAGACACATAGTATATGTATTAACTTTTGGGGGGAAAACAGTTAACCTATCAATTCTTAAGTTACATCATTCATATGGAGGTCATTAATGTTTATAAACATTTCAAGCACATTTACAGAATTTTTTATATGTTTTGACTAAAAAAAATGTCACGGAAGTACTAGAATATTGATTCAAAACAATTTTTTTAGTTATTATGTGAGTTAAATCTTGCACCACTTCCTGTCCTTGCCAAGGACTGTGTGTGACTTTCTATTAGTCTCAATATATTGATTATATACTATAAAACAAATAGATTTTTCTTATTATTCATTAACATTTATAAAGTTTCATTTTTAACATCTTTCCCATGATGTATCATACAGAGCCAGTGGATTGTCTTTGATGACTCACTTCACTACAAAATAATTATTAAAATAATGTTTAAAGTTTTACATTACTTCAATTAAGTAGTTAAAGTAATATATTTGATCAATGAAACATTATAAAAAATATCGAATATCATATTGTATAATGTCTATTTGGTAAAAACCGGCTTTTCCATATTAAGAGAAAAAAAAAAAACAATATGTAGGTATATACTTATTTAGAGTCTAAAGTATTATGAAAATTGAAGTAGTATTTTATCCTGATACAATATAAACAACATAACACAAGTAGTGTTGTGTTGTTTTACAAAATTCAATTCAATTTCATTAAATTCAATAAAAATTTTAATTATAATTATTTGTGAAAAGTTTCATCATACAGTCAGATCTGTTTATCAAACTCTTACAACCAATGGATATCTGCCAATTATTTGTTGTCACGGTAGAAACATTTGATTTGTGTTCAAATAATATTATGAACTATATATATAAATGAATATTATTGATGAGAAACATATACATATATATTGGTTAGACTCTTTTATATATATTACCTATATATAATTTTTTTCTATCATCAACATGTTAAAAGTCAGTGAAAATCTTCTAATTCCGACTTTGTCTAATTTATCCGAACTGACAATGAATGTATACCTTCTGCTGTATGTGTATAGTAAAAAAATATATAATAAACATGTTCACTAATTTAATTGAAGTTTTATCTATATATATATAAAAATGAATTGCTGTTCGTTAGTCTCACTAAAACTCGATAACGGCTGAAAGGATTTATCTTATCTCAATCTTGAAATGTTCATGGAGGTTCAGGGAAGGTTTAAAAGCTGAAAAAGATTGATTAATTTCCGGGAAAACCCTAAAAACAGTCCTTTTCTATTTCCCGTACAAACGTTTTTTTTGACATTAGATTTGACAACTAACTAATATGTCAATCATAAGATCTAAGATTGACGCGAGTACACATTTAAATGAAACTAATATTTTCGGATTTTACAAACGCGAAGTAAAATCCGAAAATATTAGTTTCATTTAAATATGTCAATCATTCTATTAGATTAAAGCAGGAAAAAATTAATAAATACAAATACCTGGTTATTTAAGACGGAATAGAGTTCGCCCGGTCAGCTATACATATATTACTAACGACGAAATTAACGCGGACGAAGTCGCGGGCAAAAACTAGTATATATATAAATTTATAAAGAATATAAGTTTTATATCCCATCTGAGTATTAAAATTTATTATCTTTTATATACCAATGGAAAGACTTATATTATGTACATGTTTAAAATAATATTATATATGTAATGTATATTTTGTGAAGTACATATATTAATTGTATCATAATTTTCACTCAATAACAGATTATGAAATTTACTAATAAAATTAGGGAATTTATAATAGTATTAAAACTCATTTAATCTCAACATTTAAGAAATTAACACACTGGAATTTATTGATTTCAATAGCTTTTTATCAAAAGTAATATGTTGAATTATAGAAATTACTTGCTTTTATATTTTGATTTGTTATTTATATCATTTTATATATAAATGTTGAATAAAATATCTTTATATAAGTACAGCAGCTTCTACACATATGAAATGTGAATCATTCTCAGTAACTATTTATTATATATGTATATATCATAATACATAACAACATTATGACTGTTGGTTCTCTTTACATACTGAGTTTTCTAATGATTTTCATTTTTAATTTGTTCATATAACTTTTCTTTCAGTTCTCTAATGTTTATAAACAAAAACATAATATGTTTCACTTAATTTAATAGTAACAAATTAGCAATGGATTTAATTACAAAGAAAAATAAATTGAAGCAAATTAAAGACCTCTGTAACAAATACATATAATAATATTATGAAATTGTTTAATTTCAGATCGAAAGCGTAAAGGCAGTACAGATTCCAAGGAGTTGGCGGTGTGGGGTGAGAACTCGCGACCAGCTAAATGCAGCAAGATATGGCCAGTGTTTGACTCGGGAGGGTTCGGAGACGCTTCAATGTTAACACTACACATTGTGCAGAAATCACGACCATTAAAGAATCCACTGTTGTTCAGTAACAACAGTCTGGCTATAGATTTCGATAACATTCGATTAGATTGGTTCGGTGGCATCAATACTTCAAAGAAGCAAATGCATCTCTCAAACACCATTCCCAGGGACGATCTCACTAAACGCATATACTCTTCAGTATCTAAGCAGCTCAGGATAATAAACACTCATCTGCAAAGGTCCATGTTCAGATACAAGTATCCTAAGGTGACGAGAGCTAACGTATTGTTGGAGTCGTCTACTTCAAGACGTCTGTCGACACACTTTAGCTTATCACTTAAAGCTATAAAGTTCCAGTCGACGCCGAGGAGACAGCTGCCTTGCTATGGGAACCTGGAACTGCCTCTGAAGATGAAGCAGGAGATTTCCACACAGTACTACCCAGTGATTGCTAGGAGCTTACACACTGAGAGTGACCGTAGTGATGTTAAAGTGAAAGTGGAAAGGGAACTTGTGAAATATGAAGGAGAGAAGGAGAAGAAGAAGGGAGACAGAGAGAGGGAGAGAGAAAGAGACAGAGATAGGTATGTAGTACATGTGGAGATTGATTAGATTAAATTTATATATTACTAGCTGAGTGTGTTACCTGCGGATTTCCGGGATATAAGTAGCCTATGTGTTATTCGTGGACGTCAGCTTCCTGTATACAAAATTTTATCAAAATCGGTTCAGCCGTTTGAGCCTGAAGAAGTAACAAACATACACACACACTCACAAACTTTTGCAAATATAATTTATGTATTATGTATTAGTTCAATGTGATTCTCTGCCTTACCATTTATAAATTTCATTTGTTGGATTTGTTGGATCAAAAATACAGTAATTAAAAACATTTACATGCTTTAGTAAGTTGTTCAAAGTTGTATACTGAGAATTGATAATGTTGATTGAAGAAACAGAGAGAATAGAACAAGTGTAGCCTTTGATTGAGAGTGCTTGGAGGGGTTAGTGTAGAATATGTAAAGTACTCCCTGAATATTATATATATATCGGTGAATATACACTATTTGAATTTTTTGTGTCCCTGAAGAAAATGTTATCTGTTCCATTCAATATTTATAATTTATTTATTTGACACTATTTTAAAATTTGTAAAGATAGGTGCCGACGATTATTCCATTTTTTCAGTTTTATAAGCATCAGAGGAAAATGTGTTACCAGAGGAGTGATACTCTTGCTAAAGTAATGACAAATGAAAACAGGGAAATGACAAACCCTTGTTGATTATTAGCTAAGGAAGGGGACTAATATTAAATAAAACATCTATAAATTATAGAATTTAAATATTTTGAACTGTAGCAAGTGTGTTTAAAGGTTTTGGTTTCACAAGGCTATTTAAAAAAAATAATTTAAAATTATCATATTCATGCAATGGTGTCTAGTGTTTCTCTCTCCATAAAATCTTATTGCTCTTTCTTCAATTTCAGTCCTGTTTGCTCTTTATTTGTCCCTATTCTTTTTTCTTTTTATATTGCTTGCTTTCTTTTAATTCTTTGATATTTAATTTGGATCGTTTTTAATTCTTTGATAGCTTAATTTTTAAAATTGATGCTTAGTTTTTAAATATTTTCCCTTGTTTGTTTTTTTAACACTTGTCTTGAAGTCTGATTATGCTAGATTACCAAAATCAAATGAATTGAAGCCTAAACACAAAATATTTAACAAAGCATGCCAGAGTAGTGACGCCATAGAAGTGACAAAATCACACAATCTATAAAAATAACATCACTCGCTTTTCTCATAATAGTTTAAGTTAATATATGACATCTAGCACAATAAACATTGATTATAGCAATTAAAAATTTCGTAACCATACAATACAAAAATATTTACTTACCAAAGGAAATACTCCAACGACTGGCACAAAATTACTTTCCGACAGTTTATCGAAAACTTTGGTCAAATTAAAAATCAAATTTTTAAGTCTTTGATTTCTGCCAGACGAGGTGACAGTATTGTAACATGACACGAAAATAATTTATATTATAATAAATATTTTTACAATTAATTTTGATATAATATGCTTTGTTGTTTATATAAACGTATGATCATATAAAAAGCAAAAAACGCAATTGCATATTTTTTGAAAGTATTTGGCCATAAATTCATTGTAATTCATGAATGAGAAGGCCAGAACAGTATTTAACTACATATTTTAAATTATTAAAAATATAAATTAAATAATTATTGTGAATTATCTTTGTGGGCCAGATAAAATGACATTCTCTTTATTGCTGAAACATAGACAGACAATCATATAATAATTAGTTTTACATACATTTTGTCTATAGACCAATGGGATTCAAATAGCTTATATTCACCCATATATAACAAGAATCTGGATGGTGGTCAGTATGTTTTTATAAAGGATTATGAAATAAATTTATTTGTCTAATCAGTAAAAATAAGGATTTACAAAAAGTATACTCATATTTATACTGGGAATAATATCTATGTAAGTGGCAATATTAGATTAATTAGGAAAAACAATTGTCTATATAACAATTACAGACCATATTTAAACAATGAAACCTTCAAAAGAATTAATTATATTAAGAATTGAAGATAGGGTTCTATGAAAAGACATGAATATAAAAATGTATTTAATATAATTAACAACTAAATTAGATGACAACATTACTTTGTGTTCGTCTGTCAATATCTTTATTATCTCATGAAAACAAACAATTATAAATTAAAATGTACTAAAACAACTAAGAATGACTTAAAATAACAATGTGTGTATGTATGTGGCAGTGTGTGAGATGTAGTGTAATAGAAAATAATATTTGAAGAATTTGTACCGAGGCAAACTTAAAGAAACAGAGAGAATTAGTTGGTTAAGTAGAGAGAGGAGCTTGGACAGTGGAGGTGAGCGTTTAACGCTCGTTAGATAGGGGTCCCTTAAACCTATACCTGGGTCGCAAGTCCTAGGTACTGTTGAAGCTCCTCTCACTACAACGCTATGGACCCGACACCTGCACGGTGAATACATTGAATGCTAAAAAGTTTCATCTTGAATAGGGAATACAGGTGGTGTAGTTTATTTGATTTGTTGTGGGTTTTGTTTTGATATCTCTAAACATATCAAGATGTTTAATCTGGCGTGTCTGAATCCTTATGAAATTTAAATCTATTTCTTTTAAACTCCTCAATCAGATTACAATGAAACTACCTTACAACTATAGGATTTCATAAAAAATATAATTATAAAGTTGATGTTAAATTGAAGAATTTATAGTGTAACAATCATAGATACAATTGGGGACAACAACCTTTTGTGAAGTCTGTTAAAATGTTGCCTACATCACTTATTGCGACATTACTGATCCGTGAGTAAAATTCCCCTCAAAATTTGTTCGGCCGTTCGAAAGATACGCAGATAGAATTTTTAAAAATACCATTTTTGATATCGTATATCCTGTCATGTGTTTCATGAAACGCTGTTAATTTCAAATGACTGATTGACAGTTTAATATATTTGTATAAATGTACATATATTGGTTTATATCTAAAGTCCCGTTGTGTGACGCGTGCTCCAGATCACATTCATCCCGTCACTCGTGTCAGCAGTGCAAGCGTCGTGCCAAGGTCAAGAGGTGCTCCATAGGGGTGCAGTGTAGGAGGGAGCGTGTGCAGGGTGCAGTGTGGGGCCCGCGGACACACAGCCTGCACCTCAAGGAGCTCAAGTATCACAGGTACGACAGAATGGAGGGCTATTAACATTGGTTTATAGGGCAAATATTGCAAACGAACCTGATATGGGTAGTACCGACGCCAAATAATTTCGGGAAAAGCGGGGAAAAGGTGGGAAATGAGAAAACCGTCTCTCTCACCCATCGGACGAAACGCAGCCATTAAATACTACTTCACGTCGATCTTCTGTAAAAGGGTGGTATTTCCCCGGTCGAGCCAGCCTATGTTCGAGCTGTAGTAATCCACAGCTAGGCTCTACCACCTACCAACTGAATCCTGTATAACTGTATCCTCTCTATTCATATAAACTGTAATATTTTTCCAGACTGATGCGTGTGGAGACCCATCCTAACGGCGGCGCGAGTGTAGTGTACCTTTACCAGCACGACGTGGACATGTTGAGTGCGATACAACAGGAGGAACTGGCCAAGGAATTCTTAAAGGTATTTATTATATATCAGTTTGTTAAAAGACCTTACTGACTAGATTAACCTTGTGTTATGCACAGTTACATCTATAGCTGATAGGTAGTAATATATTGAGAATACATCTACAAATATTTACATGTTCTTTTAATACATGCGTATAGTCCTTGTTTCTTATTCCACATTCTGGTGACAAAGAAGCCTTAGTTGGTGAAGGCACTGTCACAGTTAATATATAATAATAATAGTCAATATATTCTTTTCTCATGTATGTATCCTCATCATATTGGACGTCACTATATATTTTCAGCTGGTATTTTCCGAGGACAGTGAAGGCTGGGCCAACTACGTGTGTGGCGTGGTGCGTGGCGCGGCGGGCCGGCTGCCGTGTCTGCTACAATACCTCGCGGAATCGTACCCCACACTCACCGTCAAGGCCGGAGTACTCGCGCGGGCATCCGACATAGAGACTACCACTATCAGCAGATACTACCAACAGGTACCACATAACACATACACACCGGCGAGAATAGAACCTGTGACTACCGACATGAAATATTACAGTCGCTTGGGAGACTGAGCTATCGTGTCCATACTCTGTGTTACCGATATGCAATGTGTCGGAGTATGCAGGCTCAGATCCTGCTTGTGTTAATATTTTTTTCATTGTAAATTATCTATTTAAAGTTTATTTCAAGTATTATTTTAATTTTGCGGTTTTTAATATTATGCCTATAACATGTCAGTGTAGGACGTTCCCGCCATCTATGATTATTCTAATCAGTGGCGGCTGGTGGGTTATCGAACTGGTGGTGCACTTTAATAAAATATTAAAATTAGAAAATGCAACAAAAACCAATTGACATAAAATATGTTTATTTTTTAAACATTAAATCAATGCGACGACATTTTTCTGAAGCGAAATGTTCAATCACCTTTTTATTAAAATCGGGTATTGTTTGTATAATTATTTTTTTCAATACTAATCATAGAAAGTGCATTTAGCAAGTGCATGGTATTTAGGAGAAAAGTTTTGATTCTTTTCAATTCCAATTCGTCATACATCGGGTGCTCTCGGTAATCTTCGGCCGCTCGTGCGGCGCTCGAGAACCAACTCATTACTCGGTACATTTCTATGAACTATCTTTTGTTTCACGCGTCAGGCGTATTAATGCGTATCTCATACAAGATGTATTAGGAGTCCTCGTGCACTCGCCGAAGCGCACGAGATATTAGTTTAGTAAAGCGCTCAAACTTTTTGACTATAATTAGAAATTTAATTTTTTATACGTTTTTGTATGTTTAGAAAATAAATGTAAAAATGGTAATTTAAAAATAAAGATGAAGTATTATTTTGTAATTTTTTAATCTTTTGAATTGGTGGTTCAGCGCACGAGTGAACTTAAGGTACAGCCGCCACTGATTCTAATACAAATTTGAAATTGAAAAAGCTTTCCAGAAGATACGTTACCAATTGTCATTTAAATTGTCATTATAGTTATGGTACAAATAAACATATGTATGTGTCAGTGCCGCAACATTAGGAGATCACTGTAAATCAGTGTAGAAGCAACATTGCTTCTATTTTTCACTGAGTGGTTCTCCTTTTGGTTAAATTACACTGCTGCACACTTATTATTATTGTTATTGATTTTTCAACTTAATATTTGTCCTGTTGTAGTTGTTATGTTATTTTATTTTCCTTTTTTTGTATACATGTGATAAGTGTTACTCTGTTTTTATTTTGTTGTTTGTTTTGTAGTGGTGTAATTTTTTAATCAATAAAATTTATTATTATTATTATTATATTCCAGGTGCAGCAGTCGTACCTGGCGGGCACGTTCAGGTCGGGTCCTCTGCATCAGATATCACTAGTAGGGACGGTTCACGAGGAGGTCGGCGGGTACTTCCCCGACATGCTGGACATGCTCACTGAGTGTCCCTTCCTTAAACTGGTGAGGACTGACTTAATAGATAGAGAGGGGGTTAATATACATGAGTGATAAAAGGTTACTATACAATTAATGAGTTTATGATCGATAGCACACCTTGGGAATGAAACGATCGCCTCCTGGCTATTTCATCTCATATTAAATTGTTTATATAATATATGACACAAATATATATAAAAAAAACCCGCTGAGTTTCTTTCGCCGGTTCTTCTCAGGTCAGAGTATTTTGTTTTCCGAACCATTGGTAGTGTCTCAAGTGACCATCAATAAGAAAGTGTAATGCTTCTATATTGAATAAAGTTGTTTGAGTTTGATATACAAGTTGTGTGTGTGTGTGTCGTTCCAGACGATGCCGTGGGGCCCTATGTCCGCCGTAGAGATGGAGCCGCAGGAGTCCAACGACGGCCCGATACTGTGGATCAGACCCGGCGAACAGCTGGTGCCTACTGCCGAGCTGGGGAAGAGTCCTATTAAGAAGAGACGGTGAGTAAAATAATAGTACATATAGTACTAACAACTAACATATCATATGACTTGACCGATTTTTGATTGACTTGACCGATTTTTGATTGACTTGACCGACTGTTATGACCGCGGTCACAAGCTTAAATAACACACGCGCCTGTTAATATAAAGTGTCTGTAATCAAGCAGTGGTTCGAGATATAACATTAGAGGGTACAGATGATTTTTATGCCATTATAAGAAAAAAGTCCTCATCTCTTTTAACAAGACTGCAGTCAAGCACCAATAGTATACTAAAAGTGCTCACAAGTAAATTTGACGCACCAATACTTCAACATTATATAAAAATACTTGTTAGGAGATAGTATATAACACTGCCCAACACATATTTTGTTTCCTTTATTTTTTTCACTGTTATTAGTTATTTCTATGTCCCTGAATATGAAAAAAATACTAAAAAAATTCTAACAGCTTTAGTTTTTGAAATATAATATTTTTTTATTTTGACCAAAAATTCAGAAAATTAATACAAAATGTTTTATAAAATACAATGAAATGATCTTTTATAGGAATTTTTTGACTGAACGACTTCAGATAGATTTCGTTGCAAACTCCAGCAGTATTTTTCCATCATATGTGAGTCCCACCGCCCCTGATAACGCTATTCCAACGTCCTGGACCCTGGAGGAATCTTTCACCCTGCTCTTGACTATAATCATCCAGATTTTTTGGAAATCGGTCTAAATGCGAGCGCAGGAAGTGGATTTTTATGCTAATGTTGCACCCTAGTTGTTCCAAATTCGATAGCATGGCCTCAACAAGCTCCACGTAGTCGTCAGATTTATTTTTGCCTAAGAAATTACTAATAACCAAAAAAATGAATTCTAAGGTTTCGATTCCACTTTAGTCATTGATTTGACAAAATCAGAATCTTTCACGAGTTGTGTGATCTGTTCTTGAGGTTCTTGGCTAGATTTGTAGACTGAATAAGAATCTTCACTTGATGAATTTCGTTTGGGTTCACAGGGATTCGGGTAATCAGAAGATTTAGATTTGCCAGGTTGTACCTCTCATGATTTTAATTGGGGTCGTTGGGCAGAAGATAATTTAGGATGTGGCCACCTATTTCGATTGCCAGGATTAATTCCTTTGACTTTCACAACGCAAAAGTAGCAGTCGTCATGATCGTTTTCAGGTTCTCGCACCTGACCACCTGTGTTTCGAATATTACTGCATCTCTGTTTCCATTGGACCACAATTGTAGCCATACAACAAATTTTTGACATACAGTATGAGGAATCCAAAGCTTGTTCTGATTAAACAATTTTATTTTAAAGTATTGTTGATACCCATTTTTCACAAGTTCGACATAGGTTTTCGATACTTTGCAAATACATATTCACTACAAATATAGCAAAAAGAGTCGGGATTAAGCACACAACATCTTCTTGACGAAGCCATATCGAAAACAGCAACAAAATATGTTGCAGTGTCGAATAAAAAATGCATATGTAGATGAAAGTAGTAAATGAGGGTAGTTAGCTGTAACTCAAAAACAAAAGCTGTTACAGGAAAACTGTTTCGAAATTTAAAAAATATACGTCAATTTAAGATAGAAACAAGAAAAACATTAAAGGAAACAAACAACTTTTATTTTTTTGTTGACCAGTGTAATTAATTGTAACTCCTAACATTAATTATGTGCTATGCGTTTGGTGTGTGGCTATCTTTTTAATTTTAATTTGAAATTATTATTATAACAAGTTTATTATATGTATGTGTGTGTAGGACCGGCATGAACGAGCTCCGGAACCTCCAGTACCTGCCGCGATGGAACGAGGCGCGGGAGTTCCTGTTTGAAGACAGGACGAGGGCGCACGCGGACCACGTGGGGCATGGACTGGATAGAATCACTACGGCTGCTGTTGGTTAGTATACAGACATACATACAGGGGGATAGACCTCCAATAACAGTAAGGTTACATAAATTCCCACCAAGCTGAAAATCGGTAAGATTGTTTGAAATATCATTAAAAACAAAATTTGAAAATTCCCCATCTTTCCCCTGTAAGGAAAAAAATTTATTCAAGATCAAAGGTAAACAAAATGAGTTTTTCGCGTAACTTCGAATATCTAATTTGACCGGATTATATACAGACATACATACAGGGAGATGGACCTCCAATAACATTGTTATTAAAGACTAGTATTTGCCCAGCGACTTCGTCCGCGTTAATTTCGTCATTAGTAATTAATATATGTATAGCTGACCGGGCGAACTCTATTCCGTCTTAAATAACCAGGTATTTGTATTTATAAAATTTTTCCTGTTTCAATCGAACAGAATGATTGACATATTAGTTAATTATCAAATCTAATGTCAAAAAAACCTTTGTATGAGAAATAGAATAGCGCTGTTTTTAGGGTTTTCCCGCAAATGAATCAATTTTTTTCAGCTTTTAAACCTTCCTTGAACCTCCACGAACATTTCAAGACTAAGATAAGCTAAATCCGTTCAGCCATTCCCGAGTTTTAGTGAGACTAACGAACAGCAATTCATTTTGATATATATGAATTATTATTAAAACTATAACACGATGCTAACCGGAGTACTTTACAAGTAAAATTTACTCTGTTTTCTCAAAACTCAAATGCTCATATATATTAATTGCCCGACTACTTAAAATGCTTTTTAACTCTATGAAGAATGTTCTATTTACATTCTACTTATCCAAGTCGGCATTATAGAAGTGTATACTAAGAGTTTTTGCTTTTATTCGTAGTCACCTGTGTTAATACTGTCTCGCTAAAATTCTCAATATTAACACTATTTCCAGTTTCCAATTATTCTTTATATATATGTATGTATTATGTGTTGTAGGCGTGTTGAAGGCGGTGCAGTGCGGCGACTGTGACCGCGGCCGCATCACCAAGGACGTGGTGGCCTTCCACGCGGCGGACTTCAACAAGCTGGTGCAGTTACTGCAGCTAGACCTGTACGAGCCGCCCATCTCACAGTGCGTCACGTGGTACGTACGATCTTTTATATATATAAAAATTTCGTGTCACATGTTGGTCCGTGATGGACTCCCAAACTACTAAACCGATTTTATATTTGACTAGCTTTTGCCGCGACTTGATCCACATGGAATAGTGGCTTCCGGCAGATTTTTGGTTCTTCCCACATAGTTCCTGTTCTTGTGGAGTTTTCGGAATGGTCGAGTTCCCGTAAAATTTTTGGGATAAAACCTATGTTTTTTTTAAAATTCACAATGAAGTACTCTTAACCAACAACATATTTATTTGTTTATTTGAATAAAGATTAATATTATTATGTTGATACAACTTAAACAAATTATTTCGTCCAAATTGGGTACCATAAAAACGGTTTTTGTGAGTTAATCTTAAAAGATAGACATTTACTGTTGCGGACTGTGTTTTAGATCATTAAAAGAGCTATTATTCTTTCATACATATTTTTTGTGTATCTTGAACCGTTTTCACGGCGCACGCAACGGAAGGCTTCAAAGATGAAATAATTTCTCCCGTTTTTCACACATTTACCACGATATCTTTGCTCCTATTGGTCGTAGCGTGATGTTATGTAGCCCACAGCGTTCCTCGATAACTGGACTATCCAACACAAAAAGAATTATTCAATTCGAACCAGAAGTTTCGGAGATTAGCGCTTTCAAATAAACAAACAAACAAACTCTTTAGCTTTATAATCTATATATATAAAAGAAAGTCGTGTTAGTGACTTCACTTATAACCCAAGAACGGCTGAACCGATTCAGCTGAAAATTGACAGGGAGGTAGTTTAGAACCAGGAAATTGCAATAGGATACTTTTTATCCCGTTCGACAGCATTCCCGTGGGACTTGACATGAAACGTCAGTCATTATAAAACGTGGAATAACACAATTGACGTATAATGACAGATATATAATGAAGTATGGATGACAATTTGATATTTGTAAGAAATCTACTATATAAAAATAAAAATATTTAGGTAATGTGTTTGTAGTTTGAACTCTTAAAACCATTTAGTATTTGGGGGATAAATTTAGAAAATCATTGTTTTTCACACGGGCAGTTATATTTTGCGTGTTCATGAGTTTGGAAACCATCCGCTTTATTTCTGTTGAAGTTAGACCAACAAACAAAAAATGTGGTTTACAAAGGAGCACTTCAATGAAACGGATAATTTGCGGACACGTATAACGCTTCGATTCGGTATCTACTTTGGATTCACTTTCATTTACTTAGAGAAGTTCAACTAAATAACACTTCATTTTTGTAATTTTCCTTTTCAAATATAAAACAAAAAATTCTTCATCTTTTAATCACCAAACGAAATGTTATATAAAAGCTTTCTGGTGGCGAAACGGAGTTCGCCAGGTTTACTAGTATTAGTATAGATTTGCATTCCGTGTGCATTGTGATCCAAGTTGAAAGATAGGATAGCTTACTTATCAATTTATAGTCACAATATTATTTTATTGCAAATTATTTGTCTATTAAAGAAAATTATTGGTCATTATTACAATTATCTGTTGACTGAGTTAAGTATTTAATAGATGACGCTATGTTAAAAATACAAACGTCATGTATGTTTCTTATAAAAATTTATTTATAAAAAAACGTAACAGATATTTCTTGATTATAGGGCGATACGAAGTTCGCCGGGTCTTCTAGTATAACTATAGAATATATTTAACACTAAATAATTACTAGTGAAAAAATTACCTTAAAAGTCGTTAATATAGATAATATTACAGCTCAAACTTTCTTTTGATAATTTTCTTCCTATTGGAGTTTCTACTATTGTAGTTACGCGGTTTTGCACTGTCGACGACGATATACCACAGCCCTCTATCAGTAACTTGAATCCTTTTATTATTAAAAACTATTTTTCTAATGTATGTATATTATAACGATGCGTCCCTTATATTACACAGGCTGGAGGAGGCAAAGCTCAACCAACTTCGCCGAGAGGGTGTTCGTTACTCCCGCCTCCCTCTGTGCTCTGATGACATTTACTTCCTGCCGCGGAACATCATACATCAGTTCAGGACAGTGTCCGCTGTGACGTCCATCGGTGAGGAAACGATACATTATACATTCATATACTAAATATAATAGTTGTATACTTTAAATCAGTCCTACTCGCTTTTCTTCACATATTTGATTTCATACATTTATAGAAAAATGTAAATCACGTTATTACATATTATTTTTGCACTAATTTCTTAATTTGTGATAAAAATTATTAAAAACTCAATTTCTTATGAATATATATTTAATGACGTATCATTTTTTCACTCTCCTATACATAGTATGTATCATTTCCAGCGTGGCATCTCCGTCTGAAGCAGTACTACCCCGGCTCTGTGGCGTCCTCACCGGCCGACGAGCGAGCCGCGCCCGCCACGCCCAGGGACGACCTCGCTGGTAACACACTCATACTGAACATTAGTTGGCTGCTTTATTTTACTTAGAATTTACTTTACTAAGAAACTGTAGAGAAAAAAAAAATAGCAAAACATATTATACCTTTTGATTTCTTGTGTTCTTATTGTTGATAGAGAGCGATCATTCATTAATACTAACATAAAAAATATACTTTTCCAGAAAATAAATCAACGAAACACAAGAGCGGGGTCATAGAGATGAGGGCGCTGAGTGCCAAGTTTAAAGAGAAGGCGGCCCTCAAGATAACAGACAGCAGGAAGAGTTTAGACGAGCAGAGTAAAGACAGACAGACGAGCAGGACAGACGATAAGAAAGAGAGACGGACAGAGAAACATTATAGAACAGAGAAAGGAGAGAAAGAGAAACACACACACAGACACAGAGACACGGAGAAACATAGAGAGAGAACGAGCGATAAACAAGACGTGAGGAGCGTGGACAAGGAGAATAAAGGTGACAAGTGTGAGAGAAGTGACAGAGAGAGGGGGGAGAGAGAGAAGACAGACGGGAAGGTCGCGGAGAGAAGTGAACGGACGGAGAAGACGGAGAAGGGGGAGGCGAGAACAGAGAGGTCGGAGAGAGAAGAAGATAAACCTGACACCTCCGAGAAGATTAACGTGAAGTGTGAGAAGACAGACAGGACAGAGAGGACCGACAGAACGGAGAGAACAGAACACAGGACGGAGAAAACAGAGAGAGAGAACAGAACGGACAAAGACGAGCGGTCAAACAAGCACGGACACAGTAAACACTCGTCGAGACACAGGTCCTCACACAAGGACAGGTCGAGTGACAGGAGGGAGCACAGGCGACACAGAGCGGGAGAGAAGAAGACACACACACACGAGGACAAGACTGACAAGACGGACTGTGACAAGACTGTGCACCGCTCGCCCGACTAGTGACACACACACACACGGGCCTCGTGACGGACACACACACACACAGACACATGACCCGGGTCTCACCTGCTCCTTAAACAAAACACTGTGTCTGTGTCCATATCTTCGTTGGCCGTCTGTGAAGCGTGTCTGTGGCGGAGACGTCCTGCTCACGAGGAATTAAAGTAACATAGGATCAACCTGTACATAGTAGGATAAGAGTCTCCTAGAGGCTACCGGGAGGACGGACGCGCAGTTTTAGAAAGTTAACTTGACCAGTGACAGAGCCGACATGACGAGGTCTACACTCATGGTCTGTACGGAGAGCTTCAGAAGAAGGATGTTTGTATATTTTTGTAACTTCTAAAACTGCGTTATGATTGTGATGAAAGAGTTTTAATGAACACGAACATATAATGAGTGAAGCGAGGAGAGGTCATTCACACACTTCTAAAGAAACTGCACTTAAAGTTGAAAATATATTAAATAAGTTAAGGCTAGAGTAATTCTTTTGTGATTTTTATTAAATTATTTATTACGTCCCTTGTCGACGGAGAGGAGCCGACCGCTCGGATTATTTATTAGAGGAAGATGAAGGACTCGATACTGACGAGCCTCGAGGGCTGCACTAACAAGGAGAGAGTGCGGATCTTAAACACGACTTACTCGGAGGAGTTCCATATACACTACTGATGTATATATTTTTGTTTTTGTAAATTTATACAAATAACATTCGAATGATTTGTCTATTTTCCTTGTATTTATCCGACTAATATTATTTTTGAGATGTCTGGAATATTTTCTTAAATATATTTTTACTGGAATCGTATCATTTTGTATGAGTAGTCAGTCAGCCCTCTCACTGACCCGTGTGACTGGAGAAGTAAACAATGAAGACACCACTCAATGTTTGTACCACAGTTGATTATTAAATTTCAATAGATTTCTATTAACGTATTTTATTTGTTGAAACCAAAACACTTCACAGCATGGACGAGAATTACCTCCCTTCTTACTCGAAGCACCAGTGCGTGATGAAATGAAACAGCTGTGTGAGTTGTTCATTAAACATTATGCATGGCTAACACTGAAAATGTTTAGAACTGGCTAATTACAAAAATTTCTAGTATTTTTTAAAATTCCAAATTAGGAACTCTGCTAACCTGATGCATTCATTTGTCATTTGTTTTTATAAATTGGCAGTAAATCAGACACATTTGTCACATGTGAAAATTAATTTAACCAAATATAATCTTCGGGCAATTATTTAACATGATTTTCTTTGTGGGATTACTCAACAACAAAGCTACGATAACGAGCATTTCTTAATAAAGCCATACAAACCAGATCTTTCATTCTTGCTACTTTTATTTATTACTAAGAACTAAAAAATTAAATTAGGTATTCACTTTATGAGCCCTGAAGATGCCGTGAAAACGTTCGAAAATGCCATAAAAACTCTTCTAAGGAAGAATGGGTCCACTGCTTTTCTCAGTGGTTTCATCGAAGCGACGATGTGTAGATGAATGGATATTACTTCGAAAAATAGTAAAAGTATTGGCAACTTTCTACATATAGCCGTTTTTTATTATTTACACATTTTTAATGTTACCAAGATAGGTACAGTTGTTGTAATCCAACAAACTAAATACTTTACAATTAAAAATAATAATAAAATCTTTTGATTTTAGGATCTTTTACATCCAATATTTTAAATGTTTGATTGTTTTGTCTCGAAGTAATTTCATTATCATTAAGTCAGGGGTCCTGAGGAGTTCAATGAAACCTGCAGAACATGACGCGGTCTCAGATATAGTTCAGTAGCGAGGGGGGATTAAAATAAACAGTATCAAGATAATCATGTTTATTATTTATTTCGGAGTTCGCGTACAAACATACACGAGAGACACGTTAAGTACAAAAGAATTATTAAAGAGATTACAAAGAAATATACTGATTATAATAAAACGATAACAATAAGTTACAAAGACGCGGGCGGAGACTTGTTAACGTCTGGTAGACAGACTTGACGCGTTATGAAATATAAAAAATATATTAAAATACAAAAGAATATATAACATGTTGTACAGACTGAACAATGAATATATAAAGACACACGAGTGTAGGGAAGGCACCGGAGACGGACAATAACCTAACAATATATTAGTCACAAACATTATAACATCTGACGAATTAAATTTAGCTTACGATACGTTAAGACTAGATCTCTTACACTACACCGCGCCCATAACCTGCACTGACCCCGAATGTGGGGAGGGGCGTGTAGTGGGCGCGCGATACATGACAAGTAAATAACAAGGAGCCTTATATATGAGAGGAGTCCGGCGACGCTGGACGAACTTTGGTACAGGGAGGCGGTGGACAGGCTCACTGGAACAATACGCACGTGAGAACGAACTGTGACGTCAGCTTTATTTATTTACAACAAGCACACTTACAACATACATATTGAATATTGACAGTTAAAGCGACTATATTAAAACATCAGATATGTACGTCAATGACAAGTGTACATAACATTTACTAACTATTAAATTAAAATTAAAAAGTTAACATTAATTTAAAAGATAAAATAAAAATATGTATTACGTAAAAATCACAAAATAAAATACATTACTATATAAACTTAGAAAAAAAAATAGTCAATAATTTTCATCTTACCACAAATCTGTTGACCTTGGGCGTGACGGCCTTGGTGACGGTCGTCTGCATCTTCATCATCTCGAACTTCTCCCGCAGGCTGCAACAGAAACAACGGGTGAGATCACATGCACAGGACTCGGCCGACCCGGCCAGTGTATATACTATATACGTGTATTTCATTGTGATAACTTAATGATTCGTTTCCCACACTACACCACCCGGAGTTATGATGATGAAATAGGGAACTACTATGTTCATGTACTTTATGTTTTATAAGAGTCAATGATAGTCATAAGTCTGTAGTCCAGACCCCAGTGTACCTCTTGGCCGTCTCTGTCTGTGTCTGTCCGTCGTCCACCAAGTGTCTGTCACCGGCCGCCGGTCGCTCGTTGTCTCTGTCACTCTCCGACCAGTTCTCGAACCTGTCCCTGAAGCTCTTGGTGCGCGCCAACTGCTGCGCCTGTAAGGAGACTGTCCGTTATATATACTAGTTCTACCTCCCCCTCCCCGGCTCGTCTCCTCGCCCCTCACCTGTCTGAGCGCCTCGTCCTCCCCCCTCGCCCGCTGGTACCTCGCCAGTTCGTCGTCGCTGTCCTCGTCCTCGCTGTAGTCGGAGGAGGTGCTCGTGTTCGCGTGTCGCTCCTCCTCTCCCGGCGGTGGGGGCGTGAACCGCTTCAAAGGCTTCGGACCTACAACACAATGTTATTGAGCACTCCTCCGTGTATCTATGTGTGTGTGTGTGTGTATGTGTGTGTGTGTCTCACCCTGACAGTCGTCGGGTCTGTTCCTGTCCTGCTCCATCTTCCTGAACACGTCTATCATCTTGGAGGCCGTGTGTCTGCTGGCCGCCAGCCCGGCGTCAGCGGGAGGCTCGTCGCTCCTCACCACACTCGGCTCGTGGTAGATCTCCGGCGAGGGTGATTTGGCGCGCTGTGGATCATGTATCATGTTGTTTATTATAGTATATTTCTATGCTGGTTCCCTGTACCTGTAGTCCTCTATGTACCTGTACCCTCTATGTACCTGTACCCTCTATGTACATGTACCCCTCTATGTACCTGTACCCTCTATGTACCTGTACCCTCTATGTACATGTACCCCTCTATGTACCTGTGGTTCCCTGGGCGGCGTGACCCGGAACTCCTTGCGCTTGACCTGCGGCTTGTATGTCTCAAAGAACTGGAACCGGTCGTGTATGTCGGAGGTCTCTATCTTGACGTCCTCCAGCTTGTCGGCCGCGCGGACCACGTCCTTGGGCACGAACGGCTGTAGACAGAGACGGGAGGCAACATTAACATATTACAGTAACAACCAGCATATGACTGATGTTTTAGCTTCTGACTCATACGTCCTAAATGATAAAGCATAACTTGCTTTTGATCTTAAAAAAGAATTAAAGTCACTGAGCTTTAATTCAAATAGTTCAGTTATGTACGTTTGTGTAACAAACACACACACATAAATATACATATGTAGCGTACCTATTTATTTATTTATTTATTTATTTAAATTATTTATCTTATTAATTTATTTATTTACATTATTTAATTTATTAATTTATTTATTCATTTATTAAATTATTTATTTATTTACATTCAAAAAATATACAACATGTAACGTAATTAACGCACACCCTCAAATACCCCAATGCAAATATAATAATATAAACGCAATGCATCCACCAAATATTATTTATATGTGCGTTTGCATTTTTTATTTGTGAAATTAGTTATCCCAATTTCGTGCAAATAATATGGTCAGCTACAGACACAATGTACTCGCCGCGCCCGCGCCCCTCTCTCCGAGTGCCGTCCGACAATAATAAGAAGTAGGTAATAATAAGTACACGAAATAACTACATACATTATGATTTTTCTTTCCATCACACTTTTCAAGCTTTAGATTGTTGACATTGAATTTTCTTTTTAATGTGAAGCCAATATTTTATAATTACTGATTTGTTAAATTAAATTTGTAAATAAGAACTATTAAACAGCTGATAACGCGTGATTTGATTAGACACCACAATACCTAGGACAAAGTTAAACACAGTCGGCCTGTTTAATTGGTGTGTACCAAAATATTTACAATAATTTAAAGATCATAAACAAACTTACAGTTTAATTTGCACTCGCACGGCGTTGTCGTTTTAAAACATTTTCAAAATGTCCACCGCCTTGTTCAATTCACTTTAATGACCGTTTTCGCAATTGTGGTTTTATTTTAGATAATACTGCAATGTCACTTTTCACTTTTACAAAGGCGGTTATTATCTTATTTTTTACTTCCTCGGCACTTGTTATCTCTGTGTTATAAACTAGCGATTTAAATCGCCCCCACAAAAAAAAGTCGAGTCGCGTCAAATCAGCTGATCTAGGAGGTCAATGGACACGTGCGTAGGTATTTGATGTATTGAATGTTAGTGTACCGAAACGACACAGCGAAATGCGCGACTAAGATTTTATTTGCACTTTACACTTGACCTCTTTTCGATAAGGTGGACGCGGCGTGACTAACTTACCCAAAACACATTTTGTTGACTTCGATGTTTAGTTATTATTACTCTGATTCTCGGAATTAGTCTGCCGTCTCGCTCTATTGTAATGTTATTAAGCCAAAGAAAGAAGGAGAAAGTAATAATGTTTGTATTACGCGGCTTTCTTTTATGCACTGTAGTGACCTTGCTGTGTGCCGGTTGTCGCTATGGTGTTGCGTGCGTAGTTATTTTTAAATACTATTTTAGCCTTGAAATAAGTATCAGTTTTCTTTAATTGAATGATGATTACAAATTAAATATTTCATTTTAAAAATATTAATACCCTGACTTACGATCCATTTTTGTTTCCATTAATTTTCGTTTCTATGAAGTGTTTAGATAACTGTGTGTAGGGTGACTTTAATTTACTTAGTTCTATCTAAATTTGAGAAAAAAAGTGACCTACATAAAAAACTATCAAAATCGATCCAGTATCCGATTCTGATCAAACTACTTTCAGGGTGTGCGTTAATTATGTTACACGTTGTATACAGGGTGACTGGTGAATTACTATCAATATTTAAGGAGCATACTCGGTACATGATTCTCATTCGAATTATGTAAAAAAAATAGGTACTTAATTTTTGACAAAATTTCCGTATAAATAAATAAAGTGTGTACACGTTCCAAGTGTTCCAAGTGTGACGCGTGCGGCGGCGTGCTGATACAACAACACGCCGCCGCGCGCGTATGTGTGAGTGTGTGTGTATACCTAATCTGTAGGGTGTTCATACGATGCGTAATTAATTACATAACTTTTGGTTAACTTTACTTAGAAGTTTATTAATATTTAAGTTATATTAATTTTTATTTTGTCATATATGATCGTCAAATATCACGTCCTCAAATATCGATAGTAATTCACCAGTCACCCTGTATATGTATCGCAAACACACTGCCGGCCCGTCTACTCATTTTTATATGTATGTAGTTACGATTGCAAGACCGCTGGGTTTGACCGCTGACCGGCCAGAGGTCAGAGCGGCCCGGCCGGCCGGCATACGTGACTGGTTCGCCGACGGATAACGGCAGTTAACAGCTGAGCGTTTTTAATCGTTAATACTTTAAAATATCAATTCGCCAATTAGTTATACTTTGTGTTACTCTCTCTTCCTATTCTCCTTCTTCATAATTAAACTTACTTTTTGTGAACTGTTGTATGTGTTATATGTGTTGTGTATTCTTAATAAACAATTACCACCGATTACACCTCCTTTCACTATACATATATTGTATGAGTAGTTCATGAACTGTATAATATTATAAGTCATCGTCCTTACTATCTCCTTCCTTCTGGGAGGCTCGGCGGCGGGACTCCCGGGGGCCGAATGCTTGGCGTTAGCGTCCAGCTCCAAGAAAATGGAACGAGACTTCTTGGCGATACCTGGCGGTTAAAGAATACTCGTTTAGATTGCGACTTTACTCACTACGATATTATACAACCAAATGTATAAAGTTAATTCAAACAATAGATGTGATGTAGTAAGAGCGACCTCTGTAATAACTTATTAGTTTCACATGACATACTACATGATATACACATAATTAACTCTGTCCTGTCTTATTCCGAAACCTCACTGCCTCATTGTGAAGCATTAAGATCAGTTCAGTAGTTTTAGTAGTAATAACAACCATATATTATTATTATATACAGTATGATCGTCCACTCCGTATTGACCCTACCGTCATCAAACAGCGCCCGGTCCTCGAGGTCCCTGTTCCTGGGCGGTCTGTTCTCGTCGTTGTATATCTCTCCGTTCTCGAACCTCTGCTTGATGGCGCGCGCCTTCTCCGCGTCCACCTCCAGCTCCTTGGCGATCTTGTCTGCTGACGTCACACCTAAGATGACGTCATCACACACATTAACGTGTAATGATCAAACACACACAAATCTTTATCTATACTAATATTATAAAGCTGAAGAGTTTGTTTGTTTGAAAGCGCTAATCTCCGAAACTACTGGTTCGAATTGAATAATTCTTTTTGTGTTGGATAATCCAGTTATCAAGGAAGGCTGTAGGGTATATAACATCACGCTACGACCAATAGGAGCAAATATATAGTGGTAAATGTGTAAAAAACGGGAGAAATTATTTCATCTTTGAAGCCTTCCGTTGCGTGTGCCGTGAAAACGGATCAAGATACACAAAAAATATGTATTAAAGAATAATAGCTCTTTTAATGACCTAAAAAACAGTCCGTGACAGTATATGTCTATCTTTTAAGATTAACTCACAAAAACCGTTTTTATGGTACCTAATTTGGTCGAAATAATTTGTTTAAGTTGTATCAACATAATTATATTAATCTTTATTCACAAAAACAAATAAATATGTTGTTGGTTAAGAGTACTTCATTGTGAATTAAAAAAAAAACATAGGTTTTATCCTGAAAATTCTACGGGAACTCGACCATTCCGAAAACCACACAAGAACGGGAACTATGTGGGAAGAACCAAAAATCTGCCGGAAGTCACTATTCTACGCGGACGGAGTCGCGGCAAAAGCTAGTATATATATAATTCTTCTGTGAGTGTGTATGTCACTGAACTTCTCTCAAACGACTGGACTGATTGTGACGAATTTTTTTGTGTGTATTCAAGGGGATCTGGGAATTATTTAGATTAACAGTTTTGTCTGCTGGACAATGTTTAATTAATTAATGTTTAATTTATTAGTAGTTGTTGATACAAACGTTTTTTTTGACATTAGATTTGACAACTAACTAATATTTCAATCATTATGTCGCACTTCAAAACACGGAGATTTATGGCTTTAATAAGTAAACTCCAAAAATATAAATAAATAACGTAACAGATATTTCTTGATAATAGGGCGATACGAAGTTCGCCGGGTCTTCTAGTATACATATAATACAAGGTACACTCACTCTGTTCACATTGTAGCACCGACTGTTCATACATCTCCTTTATCTTGGCTTGTTTCCCCTGAAACAGACGGAAGCTTATGTTACATACACTTGTTATTAATGAGTTTAAATATAAACAAGATCTGTATTATGAACTCCTGGCACTTGTAACAAAATTATAATAATAATGTTTTTTTTATCCCAAACACATTGTAATTGTATAGACATTAACATAATCTGATCACAATGCATAAACGTAAAAGGTATATATAAATAAAATCTACTGTCCCTGAGCTAGGTATAAACCTGTGTTTCAGGCGACAGTACTCTCCTGTTACAAGCAATTCATTTTACCAAGTTTACTAAAGTGGAATAGCGAAAACAGTCAACACAATATAGTGTATGCTAAGCATATTATCGTTAGCTTTAACTTAGAATATATCTAGTATGGCAAAATAATATAAGTAGTAGTACTACAGTGATTTATAACCTTAGTGTAAGATGTTCTATATGAGATACACCCCCCTCCCCGTTCGTGTATTACCATGAACAGCCTGCTCCTAATGTTCTGTATCTCCTGTTTCCTCTGCTGGTGTCTCGAGGGTCTGGGTCTCTCGAAGCGGCCCACCAGCTCCGACAGCTCAACCGAGGGAGCCTCCACCATCGCCTTGTGGGAGTATGACTTCTTCAATACAGAGTCATCTGGATATACAATTATATATTAATAATGTGACCTCCTTATGTAAGGTGCCAATAAAATTAAGTGATGTTTGTAATTGATTTGTGAGAGCCCCGGTCAGATTGTTTATATAAAATGTTTCAATTCTAATCTATCATATAGATTGTTTTTATGCAACAATACATAAACGTTGTGTATCTCTGGTGAACAGTATTCTGAGCATGATAGCGAGCAGGCTATACTGTGTGTATGTTGGTCACTGTTCTGCCATCTCTGATGTATGTTAAGACAGTGATGCATAAAGTCTAACTACTAAGATAGGTGTAAGTCTTACTAACAATTTTTATGAGTCATGGTCACTCGAAATAAAAATTATTATTATTATCAACTTCTTTCTTTTTAATCTCCTTCTATCCATATACAGTAATACCCCGCTTTACGCGAGGGATACGTTCTGAAGAAAATCGCGTTAACTGAAATTCGCGTATATCGACGTTTATGATTAAACACAGTCAAAATTTAATACACAAATATAAAAATTATTTTAATCAATCACTGTAATTCTAATAACACTATACAATACATAGGTACTCCTATTTTTTACGAAAAAATACATGTATTGTCTTTTGGGTAGCGTTTTGTTTACGTTCTTGTAAAATACGTTCATAACACCAAACACTGTTTTTAATCGTTTGACACACGTTCAAGACACGGTCATCATTATCGTCTATACTCTGCAATGTCCCAACTTAAATAAATTTATGAAAATCGCGTTATAGTGAAACGGCGTAAAAAGGGGTCGCATTAAGCGGGGTATTACTGTACTGGTATGTATGTATGGGCGTAAGTATGTTTGTGTGTGTGTTACCGTCGTCGTCATCCTCCTGGTCGCTAGATGAAGGCTCCAGGGTGACTCCGTTCAGCGCCTCCTCAGACACGCCGATGTCCATTCCCTTAGCTTTGAACCTGGAAAACAATAAAAAAGACTATACTTAATTATTTCATTACAAAAAAATAATTCTCATATGGACATTGAAATAATAAAACATGACTTGATTTTATATTGTTCAAATAATAAAATAATTATAATATTATATGTATAATCCTGAATATAAGAAATCATAAAACAAGTAAACCAATAAACAATGATAAGTAGTTGATTCCTCCAGGCAATAGATGGCGTTACGTGTTTTTTATTGAGAAGAATTATTTTTAGTCAATACTACAATGATTTATATTAACTGTACAAGTGTAATATATTCTCCGGTCAGTGTGTTTGTTTGTACAAGTTGTATATTATATATACAGTAGTAGTGTTTCAAGTTGTTATTAGTACAAAAATAACGTTTTCTATAAAGCGATCGACCCGCTTCTTGTATTTTCTCCTTGAAATGTCAGTTTATTTATATCAGAGGCGTCTGGAAAAAAATATTCAATATTTATAACGTGAGACTTATATTTAAAATTGGATTTATGGAATAACTCGAATAAAAAAATATTTTAGAATATAAGATTTAAGTAATTGTAATATTTTCACAAACAAAGTCGTAGCTTCTATATGTAATTTTAAATTAGCCGCTGTTTAATTAATACATACATTTTACATTACTTGCAAACTCAGTACATGCGGAGCGTTTAATTTTTAATGAGTAAATTTCGTAATAATAAAGTACTAACATATCAGTGAACAACGAAAGACGCTTCTTATTCAATCTGACGACGCTAACTTACACTTAGCAAAATGTAATTTAGGCTGCTTTTATGTGAAAAATGTTAATTATTAACAAATTATATATTGCCGGCCTAGCTGGTATACAATAAAAATAATATTTATCATTAATATGTCGTATATAATATTATATTATAACGAATTCTCACCCACACCACGCTAACCGTACACTGTGCTCACTCCCGCGTGTCAAAACACCGACTACTGACTACTGGCCGATGACGTCACGCCATATTACATTTCTTTTTTAATAATAACACAAGGAAACACTAATATATAACGTATCCTTTGTGAGATAAGGTTCATAATCTCATGTGTAGCTCGTTGATTGTGTCGGAGAGATTTTTATAGAACATGTGTTATATTAAAATAGTTTGAGATGAGATCGAGTGAGCGCAGACATAGCTTCAGTATATGTACTAGCGCGGGTCACGGCGCGGGAAGTACACTTACCTACTATTAGTGTATTAAACTTTATAAAGTCACTTTATTTCAATGTTTTGTTTATATTCCTCATGCATTATTTTTTTGTATATTATTGTGTGTATATTTAGTAGTAGGTATTTAATGTAACAAACGGACACCTAAATATTATTTACGTGTATAGTATTTCTATACTTTCGATATATTTATATTAATATCTCTTTCTGAGTGTCAACTATCTCCCTTCATGAAGTGTATTTGGAATCTATCATTTCTATTCCGACACTTTGTAGTGTGAACATCAATGTTCGAGACCCTGCAGACTGTGTACGTGTATGTGTGTATGTCTCTCTCTCTGTGTGTGTGTGTGTGTGTGAGTGTGTGTGTGTGTGAGTGTGTGTGTGTGTGTTGTCATACTTGGCCATCTTCGCCAGTACAGCGGCGCTGGTTCCCTTGGTCGCCCGTCCCAGCTCCTCCTTCTTCACGTCCTCTGTGTCCTTCTTCTCGAACACCTGGAACCTGGACTTCACATCCAGCGCCGCCAGCTCCTCTAAACCAAGCTCCGGCTTGTCTGATGCTGGGTGTATAACATGTCTGTTAATATTACTATCAACCTCCACCTAATACATGTTATAGAGAGTTTGTACATCATGTATTTATATCAATGCAATGGTTTATTATTGATAGTATAACAATAAATACATAAATAAACTTTTGTAATATTTGTAAAGTAAATTGAATCTTAAGACATTTTTTCTTTTAATATAAATAAAATGTTACAAAAAGAACTAATTTTTATTTTTTTAATTTTCAGTGAAGACTAATGATATAAATTGATATTGATGTATTTGTATGTAAATTTGTGTATGAGATGTGATGTGTTCATTAATAGAATATTACGGACCTCTGACTACGTCGGGCGGTAGTTCCACGGGCTGGCTCTCACATATAATCATCTGGTGCTTCTTGGGCGCCGCTGGAAACAGACAGACAAGGAGTGGTTAATATACTGAGGACACGAACATCACGTGTGCCTGTGTGTGTGTGTGTGTGTACTCACCATCCGTCTCGTCCTGCTCCACCGGCTTGGGCTCGAACAGCTGTTTGAAGTGCGGCTTACAGTATAGGGTGGTGTGGTCGCTCTCGTATGACTCCACGCTAAACACAATATATGACATGTAGTACAAGAAATTTATATTTTTTTCTTCACCATCGGAAAATAGAGATTTCAATAAATTGAAAAAATACCGAATTTTTGAAAATAGCTGATATTTTGATGGGTGATTTTTCGATTGAAAATGACTCTGATTTTTCGGTATTTATTCAAAATAAGCTGAAAAAATAAATATTTCTAATCAAATAAATTACAGTGCATTTGTAACATCAAGAGGAAAGTTTTCACCAAATTTCGTGACAATAAATTGTTTTTTATAAGAGATAAAAATAAAAAACCAAAAACTTGGTTTTTCGGATTTATCACATAAATTTTCAGGTTATGTGAAAAAAATGTTAGTACAAAAGTTTTAGATCTTTTTATTACCTACAACTTTGCCATATAACATTTTTCCGTAGGACTTTTAGTTTTGCCGGAAATCGAGAAAACCCATTTTTCACCCTTAAATACTCATCCAAATACCCTTTCCGACCTCGGATCGCCCGTACATAATTTTTTCTTTAATTTTTATAATATTCCCCTCCTTTTCTAATGAGTTTCATTCTATTATAATTTAATTATGTTTTAAAAGCTATCGGCACTGGTCTAATAAAAACAGTGAAGTAAGTAATTTATTCAACTAGTATATCTACTATCACAAGTCCACATCGCTCACTGAGTATTTATAATTATTCCTTCATAATGATCTAGTTCATGACTGTCAATCTCCCGACTGTCTACTCCTGTAGCGATATGGACTCGTGATGAGTTCTCTATGTGTGTGTGTGTGTGTGTGTTTGTATGTCTCTCTGTGTGTGTGTGTATGTATGTGTGTGTTTGTATGTGTGTGTGAGTGTCGTACGTGAGCTGCCGGTCACACTGCACACATCTGAAGCAGTCCCTGTGCCAGGAGCGTCGCTCCGCCTTCACCCTCTCCATGGCGTACACGGGCCGGGAACACTTGGCGCACGTCGGGTTGTCTCCCTCCGCCGCCTTCATCTTCTTGAACAACTTCTCGGAACTCTTGGACTAAGGGGAATTTAACATTATTAATGATGAGAACACTTAAATATTAAACTATTTTTTTTTTCGAAAATAATGTAAACAATTATTAAAGAATAATTAAAAATGATAATAAAAACAAAATTAATATATAAAATGTAATTTCATAAGAAAATATTATAAAAAAATGTCAAAAATGATTCGACGAGGATGGGATTCGAACCCACGCGTGCAGAGCACATTGGATTAGCAGTCCAACGCCTTAACCACTCGGCCACCTCGTCTTGTGACACCGGCCTCAAATACGTGTAGCCAACATGGAGACTTAAGATTAACAAACATTAACGAAATTATGACGACAATATTTGTTCACATTAATTTATATTACATTTATTTTTAATTCGATTAACTAAAATCAATGATCTTACTAAAAATACCAAAAAAATGGTTTGAATATATTTCTTTATGAATACTATAAATAAACATACTATTGAAAACAAATCTATCCAACATTCTGAGTTTAAGTGATTGTAACAAATGTTTTGTTATATTATTAACAGCGCTATCTACATTCGGATTATGAACACAAAAAATTCGTGAGTTCAATAACAACGCAACATGTAAGGATTACTAGCATTGTTTAACTAACAGATGGCGCTAGTGTTAAAGTGGTGATGTTTCAAGCTTGTTTCAGGTAATAATAAAAGAATTATTAAACACGATACTCGCTCAGTTTGTTGAGTAAAAAGTGTTTAATAATAATACATAAAACTTTGAGTTTCGCCGATTCTGGTTATTATATATTATGATTTTAGGAGTCTATTGATAAATTTTAATACTTGTATATTGTTTGAATACATAGCACAATTACATATTAAAGCCTAAACGATACATTGTTTCTAGTATACATATATGTTAGAAATATTAATCACGATAGTCACTCAGTTTGTTGAGTTAGAAGTGTAATAATAATACATATGTAGTTTTAAATAAACTTTTTAACTTTGCGTTTCGCCGATTCTGATTATATTATATTAAGATGTTAGGAGTCTATTGATAACTTTTAATACTTGTATATCTTTTGAATACATAGCACAATTACATATTAAAGCCTAAATGATACATTGTTTCTAGTATATATGTTAGAATTATTAATCACGATAGTCGCTCGGTTTGTTGAGTAAAAAGTGTGTAATAATAATACACAGTTTTAAAGAAACTTTTTAACTTTGCGTTTCGCCGATTCTGCTTTTTATATATTGAAGTTAGGAGTCGATTGATAACTTTTAACACTTGTATATTGTTTGAATACACAGCACAATTACATAATATTAAAGCGCAAGCGATGTATTATCCTACTAATATTATAATTGCCAAAAGTTTGTATCTATGTATGTTTGTTACTTCTTCACGCTCAAACGGCTGAACCGATTTTGATAAAATTTTGTATACAGGAAGCTGACGTCTAGGAATAACACATAGGCTACTTTACATCGAGGAAATCCGCGGGTAACACCGCGGGGCGCAGCTAGTATTAATATAAATGTTATTATTATTACTGACCACTGATATAGACCCCTCGTCCTTATGCCGGCGCGTCTTACTTTTCTTCTTGGTCCTCTCCGTCACGTGGACCTCTTGGTAACTGACCCTGGATTCCGACTGCATGAGAGACTGGGACGCCTCCATTGTTGTTGCCATTTTGATTTACTACACAAAAAACATTTAAACACAATTAAACAACAAAATTGACGTTGTTTGAAGAAACTAATAGCATATATCGTAAAAAACACATTTGTTGTTGAATACTGGAAGTAATTATAAGTGTTCCATGTTTATTTTATAAAGATTTTTCATTCACAACCGATCCGAGGCTTAGTTTATCCTTAACGATTAGTACATTGTAACAATAGCGCCGATGATTTATATATAGACGAACATTTGAATCAATCATGCATTGACACGACGCACGTCTTATATCTATAAATAACTCGTCCTAATGAACTTTGCAATACGACACCTAATTTTCTTACGACGAATATATTGAAAGAATTGCATGCAAGTTTTAAGAAACTCATGATTAGATATGTGAGAGAAATAAAGACATAACGAAATATTCGAATTACTTGTTTCAAGATTTTATATCAGTTTTTAAAATGTTTACAAGAAATTTGATTTTAATAATAAAAGAGGATAACGCATCTATGAATAGAAATTAGCAATACAGTGACGCGATCTGTGTAACTTTTCACGTTGTATTAATAGCATTGCTCTGAAAGCTACCTGTGTGGGCTTCGATGATCCAGACTTGAGTATCTCTAAGATTCATTACACACTTCGCACTATTAAAACCATAATACGCCTATTTTAAAGTAAAAAACAAGACTGAATAACATCCTTATACTATCTATATTACAATTCAAAGCTGAATTTAACTTGCATATTTTCAATTGAACAAAATTATTTCGACACATTGTATCCACTCCCCTGCATTAACAATAATTGGTCGGCCATTAAAACTTTTACTTGTTGCATTTGTCACGACAAACGGAAAATTTCACAACTTGCTTATAATAAACTATAATGAACATTTAACTTTTAATTCAAACGAAACAATGCACTATAATAACAAATCACTTTTCGGTCACCGTTGACAGCTAAAAGCGCGGGAAACGAGTAAAAAATTAACGCTCTCAAATGACTGTGTTCGCGGAACGACCACAAACATTTCATGACAGCCGTGATCCGGTTCGTCTTTAAAATCTCTTTATAAAGCGCGCGAGTCTCTAATTACATTTAATATCACTGGAATTCAAAATAAAATTTTATATATAATTTTTGTTAAAGTAACTTGTGTTATATTTTAATATAGGTAATATGAGTAATTGTCTGACCATTATAGGAAGGAATAAATTTAGATAGGCAATGGTTTACACTTTACAGCCTGGATATTTATAATATTTTTTAATAAATATAATTTTGTAAAATCTCAGTTCTAACCGTCAAGCATAAACAGGTGTAATTATTGTTTGTTTTATTAGATTTTATCTTATAAATAAATATAATTCCCGATGTTCGCAGCTACATTATATGTATATGAACGAGTGGGTGGAACTCAGCCAGGACTGAGGAATTTCACTTTATATTTACAGATTCCAAAATATCAGATACGTTATATTTAGGTGTAATTGTGAGACCATTGAATCGTCGTTTAAAAACCTGACGAGTACCAACAGAGATAAAAGTATTTTTTTTTTATCAGTATAATTAAAAAAAATAATTTAATTTTAGAAACAACTCCCGGTATTTAACATTTAAATTGCATAAACAAAACAATGTTGCCAGATGATAAAAATATTTCCCCAAAATTTAAGTGCACACGTTAAGACTTAAAGTATGAATAGTGACATACGTCTGATACTAATTGTTAAACAGAGCAATTGTTATGGTCAGATAGTCTTCCATAACGGCGCGGCGTACTGTTGCTTTTAATTGCGAAAGCGTAGATGCGTTTTGCATTCCACTTTTTTTTTTACTAACTTTCCTCTGATGTAAATGTATTTTCCGCGACTTGTTTTCACTTGAACGTTTTGATCAACAGGAAGCTATGCATTATTTATGTTGACATTTTCCTTTTTTTATTTGAGGAAGTAAATTCCGATACTGACATGACATTTGAAAATACGTAGCGCATGCGACATGTTTCGTTAATTTAGTTTCGTTTATTAAATAGCTATCCGGGAGGAATATATTCGTATGTTATATTTATTGTAGGTGCAGCTAATAAATTTGTCAAACCAAAGCAATTCAGGGCGAGAGCAGTTCAAAGAGGATCACAGGTAATTTAAATCATGCCGGAATGGTATTTAACGTAATGTATTCACCTGACCGGTTGGCAGAGAGCCGCCGTTATAATTAAACACATATGTAGGGTAAAGGGTAAACGCATTTTGATACACGCAATGTTATTTAACATTTTATAATATTTGGGTCTCTCCTAATAATTACAACAAAAACTCACTCGTCATATTTAATTACATCAAAGTACTTAAAATAACTTCATCATTAAGTTACTTTTAACTAGTATTCTAAGAATTGTGTCAGATCTACGATTACGGTTGCAACATCAATCACCTTGACTGTATATGGGAACGTTTAAGAAAATTGTTTCCATCCATTTAGAGTACACGGAAAGTTAATAAAAAAATAAAAATGAATTAACTGAAATATACATCGGTCTTGAGATGAACACCCGAAAACCGGGCTGTGTGTATGTGGTATGTAATGGCAACACCACCGCACCTGCGATGCGCTCCCGCCGCCTATAGGATCAACTAATTATAGACGCCAGTTATGTCACAATGCACCGCACTGAATGTTCCTACGTTTCCTGGTTGAGGAGTTGTGTGGCATTAGACTGGTTCAAATTAATTGAACACAGAACCGATATAATGAATCAACTGATATATTCAATGTTTTGATACATTCCGCTCGTAATGTAGTGTTATGTTTTATTTACGGTACTAAGTATTGAGTCGTGTGTCGTGACACGAACGTGCTGAATCACATTGTACTTATCGGAAGATAACTTTCGTAATATGATTTTTGATTATCACAATGAAGTAATTATATTTTTAATTTTATATTAATCTCAATAAATAATATTGAAGTTTCAACGTTTGACATAATAACAAATTTAATTAAATAAAAAAAACTTCATAACTGCATTTTTCAATCGGCCATATTTAGATTATGAATGTATTTCTATTTTCTTCTTTAAATATAATATATTAATTTGGCAGAGTCGCAAAAACGAGGTGTTAATGGAACATTTTAATGAGAGATCGGTCAGTTTTTTGTTGTATTTACTCATCTTTTACAAGTGTCATTGTTTTTAAAATAATTTGTGAATCTAGGCTAAGGTTACCGACGAACACGATCTATTACAAGAAAAGTATTCAAAAAAATGTAATATTTGGATAAATTCCTACGCGTGATTATATACATTTTCGCGAATTTTTTTTAAACGAAATAGTTACAAAACCTGAAATATTATTATATAGAGATGAATTCTATTGTAATATATATTATATTCTAGATGTAGTACATATATAATTTCTTAAGTCGTTGTAGCTATCCATAAAAGGGACAGTCTCCATTTAGTGATATTGTTTATACATGAGTGTTATGGTTTAACACACGTTTAATATGTTCTGAGTCACAGTACGAGTACACGGAGTAATGAGACTTATAGAACTAAAATAATATATTAGGTTTTATAAAGTTTATTAACAGAGACGATATTTGGGGGAGTGGGGTTAATTCGATTTTAATATTAATATTAGTTGCGATATAACTATTTTAAATATACAATATATATTTGAGGAGTTTTTACGATAAATATAATGAGAGTACGGTTGTAAAGGAAACGAAACGTCGAGATTATTTAAATATAAAGTAAGAAACGCGTAGTATATGAAAAAGTTTGTTTCCTTTGAATGTAAAACCTTAGATATCATTAATTAGTAGTTTCAGTAGACTAAACAAAGCAGGAAAAGGAGATGATAATTGAAGCTAATTTTAAGTTAATTTGTTATGTACACCGACATATATACATATACAAAAGGATTTAAATATATATTATCTTTGAGGTAAAACAAATTTAGTTCGAAACACAAACAGGATAATCTAAGAAAATAACCATACATACAACCTCTATGATGGTTTGACATATAAAAATATTTAATTATAGATTATATAATAAATATAGTATATATAAGTCTGTTTAATTTTAGACGACGAGTATAATGTGTGTAGTTAATTATTTGTTTACTGTACGAATTGAATTGATATCAATCAAAGCAATTGTCTTACGTTCAACGAACGAAAGTTTAAATTTATTAAACGACCTTATACTGTGTCATTTTAATATAAATATTTTGTTAATTAGATAATATTTGTAATATTAAATATACACTTTAAATATGAATCACGATTCCGATAAAACTGTCTCTAAATGAGACGAAAACTCATCATTCAATGTATTCACCGTGCGTGTGTCGGGTCCATCGTTGTAGAGAGGAGCTTCAACAGTGCCTGGGACTCGAGACCCAGGTGTAGGTTTAAGGGCCCCCTATCTAAAGCGCATTGAACGCTCACCTCCACTGTCCAAGCTCCTCTCTCTACCTAACCAAATTTGAAAAAACCTACTAGGGCTTTGAAGTTCATTCCAAGAATGAATTGATATTAGTTCTGGACAGGCCTAATTATATTATTATGTTTCCATGAAGACAGGTACAACAATGTCCCCGGTTCTATTCAAGTTACAAACAGTGCGTCGTTTAACGCGCGAACGTATTAGTTCAAGTGATACATTGTAAAATGTTTTTTCCCACATGTTTCGTTTAAACTGGGACGTAGCTGTATAATAATGTTAAACATTATTCGGTCGACTTTTTATTATAAACGATAATTTGGGTAACGAGAGTTATTTTTATTCATATTGTTGGAATCTAACTGTCATGTCGTTTTAATTTTCATGTCTCAGGATATAGATCGCTGTTTGAATAGCTCCTAACTGTTAATACTAATCCCTACTAATATTATAAATGCGAAAGTAACTTTGTCTGTCTGTTTGTTACGCTTTCACGCCTAAACCACTAAACTGATTTTAATGAAATTTGGTACAGAGATGGAGTTGA